CAGCGCATGCGTGCTGGCAAAGGTAAAATGAGAAACCGTTGTCACATCCAGCGTAAAGGGCCATGTGTCATCTACAACCAAGACGCAGGAATTGTCAAAGCCTTCAGAAATATTCCAGGTTGGTTTGAGAATAACTTCTAAATGATGGGTGTCTTTTTAGTCCGTCATTCAGCATGCGTTAAACCATAAAGTCAAATATGGTGTAACTTCTTGCATTTTTGGTGGAAGTAATAAATTTGAAACTTTTGATAAATGTTTTTTCCTGTAGGCATCACTCTGCAGAACGTGAACAAACTGAACCTCTTGAGACTCGCTCCTGGTGGTCACGTGGGGCGCTTCTGCATCTGGACAGAGAGTGCTTTCCGCAAGTTGGATGACCTTTATGGCACTTGGCGCAAACCAGCCACCCTTAAAAATGGCTACAAGTGAGTAACAAGGGGGAGCATGCAGACGGCTTTAATTACTTTCACATCAATGATGAGCTTTCACTTCAGGTCCGTGTTTTTGAATCCATGTGATATCCACCGAAGTTCTGAGTTTGAGAAATTCACTTGGAGATGATGTCAGTTTATGTTCTTGAAGAACAATTCACTTAATCGTTGGGTTGTTTTAATTTCAGCCTGCCAATGCACAAGATGACCAACACCGACCTGGGCAGGATTCTCAAGAGTCAGGAGATCCAGAAAGTACTCCGTGCTCCCAGGTAAGAACTGTTAATTTGTCTTTCATGAATGATCAGCTATGATGAGTTTCCACTTCAGGTCCGTGTTTCTGAATCCTGATTATGATGGAAGTCCTGAGCCATACAATAGTTATTTCTTGAAAGATTGTTATGTACCTGATAGTAACCTGTTACTTGTCATTGCAGTAAGAAGCTCAACCGCAGAGTACTAAAGAAGAACCCTCTGAAGAACCTGAGGATTATGCTCAAACTGAACCCTTATGCCAAGACAGCAAGACGTCATGCCATCCTCAAGCATGACCCCACGGTGAGATGGAATTACCACTTTACCAAAAGATAAAAAAAAAACATGGAGCTGTTTCTCTGTTGTGACTCTGGATGTGTTCTTCCTGTAGATCAAGGCCAAGATGCTGAAGTCCAAGAAGAAGCCCAAGAAGAAGAGAGCACCTAAGAAAACTACAGCATAAATACACAGACTGGAGTTCAGTTATAAATAAATCTGTGGATTCAAGTTCATGAGTCTCATTGAAAATATTTATTTCACACATTATCATTTTCACCTCATTCTTGGGGTTAGGGGAATATCAAACACAAAGGGTTTCTTTTAGTTAAATAATTTTAGAAAAACATGGCTTTTTAATACAGGCTTGTAACTTTGCCTAAATGTTTGACACATTAATTTCACTTGGCATGTAGATTATATATATATATATATATATATATATATATATA